ATTAAAGGTGTGTTAATTCTGCAGACTATCTATTACAGTATTACTATTTTTCACAACATACAGGCATGCCTAGTTCTATCAACAAAGAGTGAAGTTACTTCCTTTATAATAAGATCTCTGAGACATGAATTTCATATCTATAGAAATTCATTTGATGTGTAACTTCTCAATAAAAACTCAATGCTACAGCACTTTGTAAACATGGTAGAACATTCCCATCCACAAACATAAAATTTCTGCATGTGGTAGAAATGTCTGTCAATAACAGCAAAATGTTTAAGTCCATGGTGCAGTCTTCCTTACAAAGCTGACTTATATAGCTGGTCAAAAAATTATACACTTAGAATCAACAAAGTACCTCTCAAATATGAATCAGATATTTCACTACCATGACTATTTTTTACATGATACACATATAATTTTTCATGACACAGAATTTTGTATTGGGATCGCTTCTCATGAAATAATGATGTAGCTCCACTTACGTGGGTAGTAGTATCGGGACTGAACCTTATCTTCTGATGCTGTAGTCTGATGGACAGGGGGGATGATACTGGCAGATGTGCCAACCTTATGTTGAGCAGCATTGTCATCTGATGTTGTCTGTCCATCCACTGAACATAGCAGCAGCTGATGGTGATCATACTGAGGTTCATACCCTGGCTTACACAGACACACACCCAACTGGGTGTCACAATGTGCATGTTGCACACCTGCACAGTCATCCCCAGTACATGGCTTGGGCTTTCCTTCGCATCCACCTGGCAACAAAGATGTAAAATTACAAACAATAAAATATGATATAATAAAAACATGAAACAGCCAGTTTTAAATTAGTAACAAACTTATATATGGTGCTGCAGAAACTGGTAAGTTTGAGGATAACCCCCATATAGCAAAATAACTGGTTATGGACTGGATGGTAGTGTTCATTTATCAGGAGAGGCAGAGATGTTTTCTTTGCCACCATGTCCAGTCTAAGCTGCAGTCCACCGAGCCTCCTACCCCAGAGTATATGTATCAGGGCTATTTCACTGAGGGTAAAGCAAAGTAGAACATGAAACAGACCACTAATCACTCACTCTATGGTGTAGGATATTCTTTGAAAAGTTGTTTGCATACTCGGCTTGTCAAAGAATAGCCTGCTTTCTTTATGGAACATGAAGGTTCATCACCATGTTCACAAAAGCCTGCCAAAGGACTCTATCCTGAGCTAGCTGCATCCAGTTTGATCCATCGATTCCCATATCCCTAAGGTCCATCTTAATGTTATCCTCCCACCTATGCATAGGTCTTCCCAACAGTCTCCTCCCTTCTGGCCTCCCAATACCTTGTAAACGCCCCCCCATCTCCCATGCGTCACACATACCCCATCCTCCTCATTTCAATCACCCTTACAATATCAGCTGAGGAGTACAGGCAGTGAAGCTCACCATTATGCAATTTTCTCCATGATCTGTCTCCCTCCCTTTCAGGTCCAAATATCTTCCTTAACATTCTGTTCTCAAAGACCCTCAATCCATGTTCCTCCCTCAAAGTGAGAGACCAAGTTTCGCACCCATAAGCCACAACTGGCAAAATTACACTTTTAAATATTTTAACTTTTAGTTTTTTTATATGATACAGGAGGACAAAAGATTCTGGACTGAATGAGCATTCCCTAAATTTAATCTGCTGTTGATTTCGTCAAAAAAGTCATTCTGACTTGTTAGCTTCATCCCCAAGAACTTGAATTTTGTCACATTTTCAAACAATTCATTAACTATCCTTATATTCTGGTTCTGTCCTGAATTCTGATGCTGAGACATGATCATACACTTTGTCTTTTTTGCATTTATTTCTAGACCAACATCCCTGCTAGCCCTTAAGTGTTTCTGTGTTCACTTTTATAGTATTTATATTATAGCCCATCAGATTAATATCATCAGCATAGAGCAAAATCTGATGTGTCCCATTTAATTCCAAACTGCCGTAATTTTCTTGGGCTTTCCTGGTGGCATATTCTATGGCAAAACTGAAAAGCAGCAGCAATAGAGCATATCCCTGTTTCAGGCCATACTGAATAGGAAATGTACTAGACAAATGTTTACCTACACGAGTCTGGTTACAGGTTTCACTTAAACACATTTTAATTAGCCCGAAATATGTCTTAGGTATACAAAATTCAAAGAGCTTCTCTTTTCACTGAGTTATAGGCTTTCTTGAAGTCTATTAGTTGACGTACTGTCCCATTGTACTCTCATTTTTTTCTCTAGCAGCTAGCATACATAGAAAATTTTATCAGTTGTAGATCTATCATGACAGAACCCACACTAATGATCCCCAATAATTTCACTGAAGTCAACCTCGCCAGAAGGATGTTGGATAAAATTTTGTATGCAGATTATATGTCGGAGATTCCTTGATGATTATTTACAATCAGTCTTATGACCCTTCTTATAAATTGGTACAATAACAATTTCCTCCTTATTCCACAGAGAACAAATAAATTTGTGTGCCAAGGTTGAAAATACGTGGAATTTCACATTCATAACCCCTATGCCTCAGCCAATTCTCATAACCACACTTATCCCACATACTTATTAAATGAAATGTTTCTAACCTTCTGTGTGGTTTATTTTACACTTGTCTTTTCAATTCGTCTATAGCAAAAGAAATCACCTGCATACACAAAGGTAAGATAAATTTATCCTCATGACTAATTAAGCACCCTACCATGAAAGAATGTGAGGGAGTGGAAATATAGCTCCATGCATTCTTAACCTTGGTATTACAAGAAGACAATGTTCTTATAAATATTGACAACATAATCATACAGTAGATCTATGTACCTTACTTTCCTTAATCACTTTGCTTTTCAATGCATGTGGAACAAAATTCTACAAGTTTTATGATTTACTCTGAATACAGTGTTTTTGGTTGGGCCATAAACTATTCTTGTACTACTACTACTTTCATTTCATTATCACTAGAGAATTTCAAACCTACAACACTTTCTACATCACCCCCCCCGCCCCAAACAAAACACACACGTGCGCGCGCGCGCGCACACACACACACACACAAATGGTGCAAAGCCACATGAATGTTGTAAGATTTTAAACTTCAAGTTATCAATGGTCAGTGTCAGCAATCACTAGATGGCAAGTATTATCATACAGAAGAAGAACACCTTCTGAAAACAATCCATGGCACTTTGTTTGAATTACTTGCTTCAGTCTGTTAAGCAGCATTTCAGTGTATCAAAAATCATAAATTCTGAGAAATTGTTTGTTAAACTCTGCCCATCACATAAATTATAAAATAATAAAACCACAGTGTTCCAGAAGCTAAATTCTGTTTCCATCTACAGGAGGAAAGGGGAAAAAGGTTGTAAACCCTATGTCTTGGGACTTGGTTTGAGGCTACACAGTACCTGCAATAATGGCTCAATGTAACAGTGAAGTCTGGAACAGGATAGAGAAGAAAAGAAAATGTTTTGTCAAAAGATGATCCACTCTGGTAGAAATGTGATAATGATGATGGTAGTGATATAAAGGATTAGAAGGGAGAAAGAATAAGGATATAGAGAATATGTTGGCTCCTCAAATAAGAACAGACAGTAACTCACCCACAACCCTAACACCATCAGAGCGCTGACAGGAGATATGTCCATCATCACCCACTACCCAGCCAAATGTAAGGCATGGTCCAGTAAAACAGGGGCGTGTCTCCCAGAGAGCAGTAGGACATGGCTCCCCTCCAGGTGTTGGTGGTTTCAGAACTGCCCTTGATCTTGTCTCATAGCCCCCTGTAAATGCAATCAAATACAAAAAATCCTCACCTTCAGCATAATGATGTAGGTCAGTGGTCCCCAACGCCGTGCCCGCGGGCGCCATGGCTTTATTTGGTTGCCCGCGTTGATACGAAAAGAGGTTATACTGAATAATGAAGGCTGTTCAACCATGAACATTATAAAATCAAAGCACAGATCTCTACTTACTAATGCTCATCTTGACGATTGTTTGCGAGCAGCAACATCATCCTACACTCCCAAATTTGAAAAACTGGCCGATGAAATGCAGTGCCAAACATCACACTAACTTCCCACTTGAGTAATAATATTGTACTTATAAAAGTACGTATTTTTGATTGCATGGTTTCTTGTATCATTAAATGTCATGTTGCTTTGTGTATTATTTGGTGTCCATATCTTATTTGTCCAGAGAAAAGAAAATTTGGCTTTGTTAATTGGTTGGTGCCCGCCACGATCTCATAAACTCTCAAATGTGCCCGTAGGCACAAAAAGGTTGGGGACCACTGATGTAGGTTGTTTAAATCCTTTCCGTGTCAAAAGCCATACATGTATCGAACATCAGATACTCTATAAAACAATCTGAATTTAAAGAATTTTGATGATGTTTGTAGTTTAAATTAACATCCTACATCCTACTTAGGCTACATCAACTAAAAATTTGGCTCATATTGTTAAGCAATTAGGCACAAGTACTTTTGGTGTAATTTAAAAATGTCTGTAAAATTGTTTCAGATATCCAGATGATAAATGTGGCAACACCAACATTGATCTGTCAAACTGCATACACATATGTCACTTGTTCTCACTGATCAGGTCCAGTAACCAAAATAAAAGTAAAAGCAACGTGACCGATTACAGAAATCTGTGGGTGACCATACAGGACAAACTGTATAAACACTAAATTAAAACATTTCATTATCTACACACATATCAAATGTTGCATGTACAACACATCTGTGCTGCAGGGTGTGCAGAATAAGAGCCCTCACAAACTGACCTACATCAGCAGCCTGGCAATTACGGTGGCAATGAGACCAGTGACTCCACTCTGAGACACGACAGTCCCCTCTACATGGGGCATAGCACCGTTCCTGATGCTTCAGGTCCACAGAATTTTTTGCTGCAGTCTGACAGAGGTGCGGCTCCACTGGCATAGTGTCTCCGCGCAGACACGTCACATTTCGAGACATGATGCCATGCCCACACCATGCTCCCTGTTCAGAAAACACTAATTCATAACTGACATCCTGATACACAATATCAGATAGCAGCTAAGCAAGGACCATAAGGAGGTGTTATGAGAGGAAAGTAACATAAGTTCACGTACGGTTTTTCAAACAGCCAATTACATAATTTTTGACAAAAATAACAACTACAGACAGATAATAAACAGGGAAGCAACCAAGTGGGAGACTGAGATCAAGATGGGAACAACAAGTTATGAAAGACATTACATAGAAGTAAGAAAAAATGTGGAAATAAGCTAAGGAGCTGCAGAAACACAGACAGGCTTGGTTGTCAGACAACCTATATAAAGTGGAAATGTCCTAGGAGGTGGAGGAAGAAGAGGCAGAAGAAGAAACAGAAAAGGGGGAAAAAAGAAAAAGAGGAGGAAGAATAAGAAGACGTTTTAAATAATACACAACACTGCAGGGCATATTGTAAGAATGACCTCAGACAGGATCTCTCTGCAAACCCAAAATACGAACCCGGAGAAAGACAAACCTAAGTTATCACAGATATCATGAGATAAATATGACAGGAAGACACACATGTTTAAAGCATCTATACAGATATTAGTGACATATATAGATTCTGAGAATATAATATTAAAATTTCTGCACCTGCAAATCACAGGAATCCCATGAACCACGATGCCAAGCATAACATGGTAGAGCTGGGCATGACTTATGCTGTATGAATGGTTCTGGACACGGGCGGCCTCCCTCACTGGGTTGTGTCACCACACGGCGTTCTCTAACCATCACACCACCTGTGATAACAGTAATTCTGGTTATTTATATTCATGCACTGAATGAAGGATGTTGCATCAATGGAATTATCACATAAACTGTAAACACACCAATCTTAATCCACATAAATTGTATATGGATTCTTTGGTAACAGAATGTTTCAACAACCAAATGTGTCATGAAGTATAGTTAATCTGCTATCAACAGTGGCCTCTGAATATAGTTCTAGCTGACTATGAATCAAATCATAAAGTTCCATGAATACTTGCAATACAAGCATCTAGTTACACATACATAACTACAACTCCAACTGAGCAGTTGACAGCAACTCAGCCAAGTAATTCCTTACTTTTATGGAATACAAAGCTTAGTTTCAAGATTCATAAAAACCTGCCTCTGCACTGTATCTGTAAAGCCACATCCAATCTAGTCCTTCACACCATATTTCACTATGACCTACTTTAATTGTATCCTATCTATTCTTCAATCTTCTAAGGGGATCCATTTCCCTGATGTCTCTAAACCAAAATTTTGTAAGTAGCTAGCACTTAACCCATAATGTATATCCAGTCCATCTCATCATTCTCAGTATAATGGGAGATTAAAAATTATGAAGCTCCTCATCATGTAACTTCCTCCAGTCTGTGGTATTCATTTCTCCTACCTCCAAGCATCTTGTGGATTGTGGTCTTCTGGGTTATGACGCTATGTTGCCTTGTAGGTGGTTACCAATGTTTCAGAAAAACATACCACCTCATCTTTAGGTCAGACATGACTCATTTCACTTTTACCCCGAAAACTGAGTGGATTATGTTCCTCTCAAACACTGATAACCACCTACAACACAACATGTCATCATAACCTACATCACAATTCATGCTTTCACCACCACGAAAACCTTAAATATCTTGCCTCACAAATGGGGATCAGTAATAAAAATTATGGAATATTCCGTGCTCTGCAGAACATCACACTGTAGTGAACCCCACTGTTATCAGTGGATGTAGATGTACATGTATGCAATTAATTCAGTAATTTAGAATCTTATGTGTGTGTGTGTATATATATATATACAGTGAAACCTCGATGCATCGTTTTCGGCGGGGGTGGGAAATAAAAACGATGAATGCGGGAAAACGATAGATGCGGGAAAGCATTAAAATTTTTTAAAAAAAACAATGTTTCTCTTTCAAAGTTACTTCTTTTTACCAAAAAAGTCTTTAATGGACAACTGGTTTGTCGAAACTTTACGTTTTAG